ATAAAGATTATTAGAATATGTTTTACAATAAAATATTATTTTAGTTTTTCTAATTTCACATTTAATTCAATGCATTACCATTTGTAATTATTTGTGAATTTTATTAGGAATTTTTGAGTGAAAATTGTTTCAAAATCTCGTTTTACTTTTGTAATTGTATTTACTTATTTACTTTATTTTTAATTTGTGCCCTAAATCTCATAGTTATGACTTTTTTTTATGCAATTTTGCTTTAATCTCATAATTTTGAGATTTAAAAATCTTGTAATGATAAAATTAAATATTTTTTAAAACGTAAACGTATTTATTTCAACTAGTTTCCAAGGAAACATTTCTCATTTTCATTTAGTTTAACTTGAGGTACTAAAATAACTCAAATTAAAACTGAAAAATGACTAAAGAAAGACTCTAAAAATACTACCAAAAAAACTAATAAAAAAATAAACAAAAAATATTAAACTAATTTGTTGTCAATCGATTAATCACAATTAATCACACCCGAAATAAAAGTTTGTGTTTACATAATATATGGGTGTGTACTATGTATATATAAATACACACACAGACATATGTATATATATTCAAGAAATATTTGCGTATATATATATATATATATATATAGATAGATAGATAGATGGATAGATTATTTTTATTTTATATAAATATAAATATATATTACATATATTTCTTAAATATATACTGTAGATGTATGTGTGTGTATTTATAAATAAATATACACGGTACACACCCATATATGATGTAAACACAAACTTTTATTTTGGATGCGATTAATCGATTTGGCAGTCCTAATTCAAACTATTAATAAAATCTATTAGAGTATCTCAATTATACTAAAATAACTGCTTCAGGAATTTACACCCTTATTTACACTCTTTTGAGTATTTATTGTGGTGGATAGAGTATAATAAGGTCTGAAATTGTATTTTCTGTTTGCATTAGATATGTTCCCAGTTAAGTACGAGGCTGGAGAAACAGCAGGCGTCCACAAAAGAGGAACTGGATATAGTTAAAGTAAGTAAATCATCTGTGCATACTCTTATATGGCACGTTGAGCAGTGACAATCAGTATATGTTGTTCTTCTAGGCTAAAGTGATGGCGTGTGAGCGCTGTAGGGAAATGTTCAGCAAAGACGGACCCCTGCAGATCCCGGCGGTGAGTCAGGACAACCGGGACACAGACCTGGATGAGGAGAAGGACTCGCTGAAGGCCCAGCTCAGAGAGCTAGAACTAGAGCTGGCGCAAACCAAACTCCAGCTGGTGGAGGCCAAGTGCAAGATCCAGGTCAGACGTCACGGCATATAAAACAACATAGTGCTGGAGATTTATGGCTGAATAGATTTATAGATGCTATTCAGCTACTAATCAACTCATCAGCAGCAGGTAGAAATTTGAAATCAGTGTTTTATAGATAGCTTGTATCTTACTACAATTTAGTGCCACATTGACATAAGAATACAGTCGTAACATTGTGAGAGTAGTTCTAACTATTTGTAACATTTTTGAAATAAAGTCATTGTGTTTCCAGTATGTTGCTTTGATATTGCTTTTCTTTATGACTTTCTCATAATATTCAGAATTGTATAATTCTGTGGCTTTGTTCGAAATTTAGATTTTCGTTTTCAAAATATTACTATTATACTCTTGCATTGTTACGAGTTTTATACATTTGTATTTATCTTGTAATGTTACAACTTTGTTTATGTAAATTGATTTAAATCACGTTATGACTGTTCACATACTTTTGCTTTAATCCCATAATTTTTACTTTATTTATGCAATATTGACTTAAATCTCATAATATTTTGACTGTTCACATAATTTTGCTTTAATCTCATAATTTGTTTTCTTTATTTGCTTTCATTTTGAGCAAATGTTTTGTTAAGATTTCATTCTCGCAATGATTTTAATTTCCTGATGTTATGACTTTATTCTTATAATGTTACGACTTCGTTCTTGAAATTTTGACTTTAATCTTGTAATGTTAACTTTATTCTTATAGTTTGGACTTTTTCCAAAGTATTACATTTTCCAACAAGTATTACTAATTGAATCTTGTACTGTTAAGACTTTATTCTCAAAACCTTTACTTTATTCCTGTAAATGATCTACTTCTTTCTTTTTGTTTGGTCCCACTAAAATGCTGTTGTAGTGTCTTACCAAACAATCTTAGCAAACGAGTTATATATTTTAATAAGCAGTTTGCAGTGATGCCACAGTTTACAGTTACTTTAATGTTGTTTATTCATGTACTGTAACAGGAGCTGGAGCATCAGAGGGGTGTTTTGATGACTGAGGTCCAAGCTGCCAAAAACTCCTGGTTCAGTAAAACACTGGGCTCCCTCAAGAATTCAGCCAGTAACCAGGCACCCTCCTCACCCAAAGAGGGCCAGTAGGACTCGCCAAGGGCTTAACCAAAGGGTAGAGGAGCGTGACCCTTCCACTTGGCCAATCGGAGTAGAAAACAAGCTCTAATGAACACTACTAGCAGCACAACATGGCAATGCAGTGTTCCCTCACATGGACTAATGGATGACTTCCACATACACTTTTATACACTGTTATGATTTCCTTAGCTTGTGATGCCACCTACTGGACAGTAACAGTACTACAGAGTTCTGTTCATCCGGTTATCAACTTCTGCAGATGGATTTTTTTGTTAGTAAACAGTCAGTTCTAACATGCAAGTACATAAACTATGACCTTTAGACGCCAATTCAAAGGGTTTTTTTTCTCAGAGGGAATACTGCATTCTGCTAACTATTAAAAGTCGAAAAAATCGTTTGTTTTTCTATATAGAAATAATAAATGTAACTTTTGTCATAAGTGTGTATAACTAAATGTTGATTTTTATTTTAATCTTGTACAGTTCGGGGGAAAAAAAAGTGTTGCATTATTTTTTACGATCTTTATAAATGTCAAATACCGAAAAGCACAGACAAATTGACCATGTATCACATGACATTCCCTCCGTCCTGTAGACTGTTTGAGGATCTGTTTAGGAGTGAGCTGATCACGTGAGACTTATCAGATGACACACAATGGCTACACAATATTGACCTGCCAAGTCGCACATAGTGCTTATTTTATGTTATTTAACAGGTATACATGAGCCATTCGGTGACGGATGCCATGCAGAAATCAAGAATGTGTCAAGATGTCTCATTTTTTTAAGGACATAAGTAAACCAGGTCGCGCAGATGTATCGTTTAGGTCAGTGTGACTTCAAAGCCATATGAAGTCAGTCTTTGCTTCATTTCTTCTGCTATTTGTCAGAATAT